AGCGTCTGCCTTCAGCTCAGGTCATGATCCCAGGGTCCTAGGATTGAGCCCCGCATTGGGCTCCCTGCTCAGCGGGAAGCCTGCTTCTCCCTCTCCCACTCCCCCTGCTTGTGTTCCCTCTCTCGCTGTGTCTCTCCCTGTCAAATAAATAAATAAAATCTTAAAAAAAATAAAATAAAATAAAGAAGAAACTTTACAAATCAATAAGAAAAAAGGGGCAAATGGAAGAGAACTATGAGCAAAGAACATGAACAGTCGGTCAAAAGAAGGGGAAACCCAGTCAAAAGGCATATGAAGAGATGCTCAAACACTAATTATCAGACAGATGCAAATCAAAACAATAATGAGCTATCATATTTATATGATTGACAAAAAATTAGAAAGCTGAATAAAGGAAAATTTGGCAGAAATGAAGAAACCCTCGTGTAGGGCTGGTGGGACTGTGGATGGGCCACTCCAGAGAACTACTCCCTCAAACTAAGTATACTCACACCTTTTGACCAGCCAACAATTCTCCTCATGGGTGTATCCCAAAGAAATTCTCACACAGGGAGATGTGCGAGCTGTACGAAGATGTTCACTGTGGTGCTGTTAGTGCTCATGAGGAGCTGGATGCACAAGGAGATAGAGTATGTAGCTCTGTAAAAACAGATACAGATATGTATCTGTACTGTATCTGTATATATGTATATATATATGTATCTGTATATATGTATCTGTATATGTCTGTGGTGTATGACAATATACCACAGACAGCGGACAGAAGCCACAGTCTAGAAGCAGACAGAGGAATAGGGATGGCTCCCAATGCAATGCTGAGGGAGCAAAGAAAGAGAACAAGACATACCATCACGGTAGATAAAAGACACAATATTGCTCAAAAATACACTTTAGTGTACACATTAAAATGGTGGTTTATATAGAAGGAAAGAAATAAGAGCTGGGAAAAGAATTCAAAGTGAAGAAATCAAGAAATGAATCAATGAATCAATGAAGGGAGGGGCCTCTGATGATCCCATGCGACAAATTGGGTAGTATGATTCAGTCAAGCCCTCTACACGTGAGATCCAAACAGAGGCTGGAGAAGAAGACAGGAAAAAGGCTCTGCAAAGAAATTTGTGTTTGTTTCTCTGCTGCCATCCTCTCCTTGACAACTGGGCCGTTTGGAAAATACCAGCAGCTGACGCGCATTATTTACGGTGCTGTCTGATACCCCACAGGCACTGTATGCCCTGAGAGGAGCTTCAAAATCAAAGCAACAAATTCAGAAGTTTCCCCAAAGGAATTTCCTTTTCCTACCTGCCCCTTCAGAACACTCTGGCTCTGGGATAAAATGGGGGCATTCAGACGCCCATGACAACATTTTCTAGAAAGGAAAAACCTAGACATTTAGAATTTGGATACTCAAGGCAAAAAAGCAATGCCAAACTCTGAAATTCCTGTTAGACTGACATCCCTCAAAAACAGTTTTGATGGTGGTATAAGCAGAGGGTTGCAGAACAATCAGACCCTGGACAACAGTACCACCTGTGGTGGCAGATGAGCCCCAGGGCGGGTGTAGAGGGAAAATGAAAATTACTTCAATCCACAGACATGGAAAGTCCAACCACGTCAGAAGTGAAAGGGAGCTAAGGCATTATACGATGTGAAAATGGGGTCTCAATGCCAGAGGAGGTGAGAGACGATCAATCCAGAACCCTACTCTGGTTTTGCCAGCTTGGAAACAGAAGATATTTTGGAATAATACTTTAAAAAATTGTTTCTATCCAAAGCACTCCTGGAAAAATGGCCAATATGTTTTAACCCATCATTTTTCTCTCCGGCTTATTAAATGAAAGGGTAAGCAATTGAAAAATCATTCGACACTCCAGGAAGCCAGCTCTCTGAGAATAATGGGATGCCAAAAGCAAACTGTTCCAAGGGTCTGTGTTCTCCAAAATGGAACTTTTTCTATTGCTCTTTTTTGGGGAGGCAGAATATCCTTGTGGTTAACAAGAGCCTCTAGGGTTAGACAGAATTCAGATTACATTGTGCTGCGTTAGTTTACTAACCTCAATTTCCTAATATACAAAGTAGATCAAAAGTACCTATCTCACACAGTGTTTCAAGTATTAACTAAGCTCATATGCATAAAACATCCTTAAACATCGTAAGTGGTGGATAATTGCTATCTATTAACAGCTAAGATTTTTAAATACATACTCACTGCCTGAGGGTTCTAGAGGGGAGGGGGGTGGGGGGATGGGTTAGCCTGGTGATGGGTATTAAAGAGGGCCCGTATTGAATGGAGCACTGGGTGTTATATGCAAACAATGAACCATGGAAGACTACATCAAAAACTAATGATGTAATGTATGGTGATTAACATAATAAAATTAAATTAAAAAATATATACTCACTGCAGACAATGCAAAGCATGGAGAAGTATTTAAAACAGAGAAGGTCAGTCCCTCCCAATAATCTACACTCTATCCACATTATAATTTCATAATCAAGGTCTTTCCAGACTTTTTTCTATCAATATATCTAGAGAAGTCAAATATTTTATTAAGAACATTGCTCTGTAACCTGATTTTTTTTAAACCTCAATTAACAATATACCGTGTGGGGCGCCTGGGTGTCTCAGTCAAGTGTCTGCCTTAGGCTCAGGTCATGATCCTAGCGTCCTGGGATTAAGCCCCACATCAGGCTCCCTGCTCTGTGGGGAGCGTGCTTCTCCCTCTGCCTGCCACTCCCCCTGCTTGTGCTCTCTCTCTCTCTGTCAAATTAAAAACAACAACAAAACCCCCAAAACAACAACAAGAACAAACCAATATACTGAGGGCACCATTCCCACAAATATACTTAGATCACTCTTGTTCTTTTTAAAGACTACACAGTACCTTGATATTTTTAAAGATTTTATTTCTTTATTTATTTGAGAGAGAAAGAAAGAGAGGGAGAAAGAGAAAGAGAGAACGTGAGCAGGGAGGAGCAGGAGAGGGAGAATCTCAAGAGGACTCTGCACTAAGCATGGAGACCAACACAGGGCTCGATCCCAGGACCCTGAGATCATGACCTGAACCTAAACCAAGAGGCACCCCATATCTTGATATTTTTAATCAACTTCCTTTTGCACATCTAATTGTCTCCCCTTGTTATTATTACCAATGCTCCAGTGTACTTCTTTGTTGCACAAATATTTTTTGTACTCTGGTCTATTTCTTTAGGACAAATCACTGGTTCAAAGGATATTGGCTTCCAATACATATTCCTCAAAGGCCCTACAGAATGGTATAACCAGATGGCATGCCCACCCGGAGAATCAGGGTCATCTTTCAAATCTACTGGCACTTATCTCAAGCAGAGAGGAGAAGGTTTATCACAAGTCACAAGCAAACTTCTCGTTGGTAGTCACTCATATGCATCTCATTCCCCAGAGTTCTCGGGTCATTCATTATAGAACAGTGTGTCCCAGGTTGGGGCATGGCATGGGCATGTTTTTTAAGTCTGCTTGGCCATCTGTCCTCTCTTGTTCTGGTGGGTTCCCTGATTTCCCACTGGAAAACTACCCTGATCCCATTTTATGCAATACTCTTAAAACTCTCAGTAACAGTATGCTGTTTTCCCCTGAGTCAGCCTAAGCTAGACCAACCTGTTGTTATCTTCCTGGGAATCTGAATTTTCAGAAGAGTGAGGCAGATACTAAAAAACAGTTCAGAGCTTCATCATCCTGCAGATATTATTCAGAAGACCCTTTCTTATTGGTTCCTGGGGCTCCAGAGCTGGTGTGTTTTCAAGCCTGGCTCTTCAGCTCTTCCTACCTTACTGTGAGTTACTCAGTAGCCTTCCATATTCCTTCATTTTCATTACTGTGGTTTTTGCTATTGTTATTTTAGAATAAGTTAGCCAGAATTGATTTCAGGTACACTAAAACAATCCCACCTGGGGATACCGGGGGAGGGGGGGAATTTTCCCTTATTCAATTCTTGAAGGAAAAAGAAAAAACTTTTTCCCTCTTCTAAAGTCCTCTTAACCTACCAATAGCAACCATACCAAATTACTTAATATTTTTTATAAAACTCCTGGTCAAAATCTGTATTTTGGAAAGAATGAAAGGAAAATCTCTGTCCTTTAATGAATTTAACACACACAAAAATACCTCATCCTTTTGTCCACATGGAGAAGCACTGCTTTACTGATTTTTTGACATCACTGGAATTAATGGGAGGGCTCTTTGAATGTTTCTCCAAGTGGGTTTTACAAAGCCAATTCGAAGCAAGGGGAAAGGATTTCCTTTGCACTCTTATAAGCAACCTGGAAGGAACTGGTTCATACTCCTATGCACCAAGGACATCATCAGCCCTGACATTAGCAGTAGCTTTTCATTTTAATCCCATCATCTTTACAAGGTTACAGGTGCCCTTGGAAATTATGATTAATCAGAGTGCTCAGAGCCAGCAGCAGGGGAAATATGCTGTATATTCTACAGAGGCTGCCCAGGGTCATTCCCATTGAGGAGGAATATTATTACAGACTTCACCATCTCCACTCTTTCTTCTCCAAAAAGGTAACAAAGAACACAGTTACTAAGCAATCCCTAAAATAGTTGTTGCCTATCCAGTCCTTTGAACAAGACTGTGTAGGAGGCAATTCTGGCTTTCTCCTAGGACAAGGTTCTTGGGAAGCTGCACAGTACTCGACTGAGTGGCTTTTAAGTGGTTAGTGGAGCTACATTCTCAAGACCTAGGGTTAACTGAGATAATATACTTGAAAATGCTTTGTCAAGTGTGAAGGGTTATATATCGCAAGGTGTCATTACAGCCTTGCCTGTCAGGCTCACTAAAATGTCCTGGAGTCACTGACATGGTAAGTCAGGATGGAAGCAATGGACTACACCAGGGAAATGGGGCAGACCCAACATGCCCACAGCACCCCCTGGTGGTTATTCCCCAGAGTAGCAACTTTTAAAGCTCAATCCCAACCCCAGCTGTAGAAAATTATCCAAAGGACATACTTACTTCCTTCACTCTGACTGTCTTTGTTCGAATTGTAGACCTAGAAAACAGAAATAAACATTTACTTGTGTGAATTTTCTACCACACTACAGGTTCAATGAATAAGATCATTACCTGCCCCCTTTCCCTAATTTATGCTATAAAATGGAAGGCAATTTCTGGCCCCCAAACATGAATCCTCTCTAAAATTATCTACTTCCCAGTATTTACTTCATCAAGTATGTATACATCAGAATCACCTATGGATACATTCTCAAGTATTCTCAAGTATGTATACATCAGAATCACCTATGGAACTTTACTCTAAAAAAAGATCATATTCTTTAAAAACAAAACTTATGTGTATATTTAAATTAAAAAGAAGAAAAGTTTTAAATAGTTACAATCATTAAGCATTTACTGTGCACCAAGCAACATGCTGAGCAATCCACATGAATGATCTCAAATTATCTACACAACAATTCTATTGAGTAGGAACCCATCACTGCATTACAGATGGAGAATCTGAGACTTAGAGAGGTTAACTAAGGTCTCACAGCTAGTAAATGGCAAAGTCAGGACAAAGATACATTATAAACTGCTAAGTGTTAACACTGGGGTGTGGAACCAATACTTTATATGGTTTTGAAATTTGAAAGTTGTAAGGAAAATTCGTTACTTTTACAATGTAAATCCCTTAAATTATTTACAGAAATCATAAAAGGGGAAGTGCTCCAATAGAGAAAAAGAGAAAATACCCCAATATAAAACACACAATGACATACTGCAAGAGTCGGCAAGCTTCTTCTGTGAAGAGCTAGACAGTAAATATTTTAGGCTTTGTGGGCCAAGAAACAAAATCAGTATTACGCAGATACTTGTTTAACAAGAGAGAAAATGAATTTCCACAAATTTTTGGTTGATAAAATTTAAAACACAGTAATTTTTTGAAATACAGGTATAATATTCCTCACAGTAAAAATCCCTTTTAGAGTTCCAAGGGTCTCTTTTCAGAGATGCTTGGCTCAGTTCCTCTAGAAGTTAAGTAAGTGGTTCTCAACCAAGAGTGGCCATCAGAATCCTGTGGAATCTCTCTTCCAAGGAGTATAATTTTTTGAAATGCAGATCTACCAATCAAAAGAATGGGGTTTTATTTGTTTGTTGGTTTTACATAAGGAGGATAACATTTGGCTTAATTAGGGTTCCAAGTCAGTATTTCCTATCAAATCAATTGCAGATGTTCATCTACAAATGCCAGGTTATACAAAAACCAGGTGGTGTGCTGGATTTGGTCTATAGGGCAGTTTGCCAATCCCTAATATGGTGACATTAGTAAGTAAGATAAACCCTCTGTTATAAAGGGAAAAAAATCATAGTTTTCCAAATCTCTCTTTGGTGATTATTATTCTTTATATATGAAAATGCATAGGGTAAAGCTGGCTATCATAAGTATGTATGTATGTATGTATGTATGAACATATGTACAAAGCTGGCCGTCATAAGTATGTATGTATGAACATATGTACATATGTATGTATGTATCCATTGATCTACCTACCTACCTACCTACCTACCTACCTATCTATTCCAAGTGATTCTGATGGCTACTCTTGGCTGAGAACCACTTATTTAACCCCTAGAGGGGTCAGAGCCAAGCATCTCTAAAAAAGAGTCATGAAACCCTAAAAGGGATTTCTACCTGCTAGCAAGTGTGGGTTGGAATGGCTGGTCAAGAGCTTTCCAACCTAGCCCTTCAGTTGCCTTGAGTCATTGGGTAAGGCTCTCACCCTGTCTGGGCCTCTACTGCCTCATCTGTAAATTGAAGGAGTTGGCCAAGAGGGTTTTGAATGATCAAACTCTAAGAAGGACAAATCACTCCATTTTATTATTATTGATTTCCTAAAGAACCACTATTTGAAAGTCAGGAGGATGAGGATTAGAGAAAAGGGTTTCTGTACTTGGGGCAAAGGCATCAGTTTTTATGCTTAAAAGTTCTAGAGATGAGGGGTCAAAAGACTGTGATCCTGGCACAGCGTTTTGGAAGGAGGAAGACCAGTGCAACTGGCAATCAGTACATAGTAGAGAAGGGAGGAAGACGAAAATGTGGCAGAGAGGCAGCAACGCAATCCTGCAGGATGTTGTGACCTGTGAGTGAAACAGGTAGCCTCGTAATAGCTAGGACCAGCAACCCATGGTGAATGGTGTTCACTAACCTTGGAAACTGCGTGAGCCAAGTGCAAGGGAAGAGACCCTACTTTGTCAAGAATTTTTTTTTCAGCATCCCTGACCAATTCATTCCATTAAATTTAAACATTCTGAGAGAAACTTGCTCCTGTTTATAAATGGCAAAATCTAGAAAGAAAAACGAAATGCAAGACTTTTAACTCTTCTTTATTAGGAGGAGAATTTGCACCAAAGTACTTTCCTTCAAGGTTTCCTGGGTCTCAGGAAGTGCTTGCCTGCAACACCCAAGCATTCCCCAAATCGGAGAGGCATGATCAATGAGCCAAAGGTGCCAGAAACATGTGCTGCCCAATCCTTTAAGGCCAGGCCATTCATCTCTGCTAGTTTGGTAAATGAGCCAAAGAGAATGAGTTTTGAAATAAAGCTAACAAACCATGCCCTCCAGAACTGTGTGACTACATGGCCCAACAAGGAAGGCCCAGGATGGGGGAGCAGCCTCACCACCACACAGGCCAGATGGCAGCATGGTAATAGGACTAAGTGGGAATGGCTTTGTTTAACTTTACCAAGTACCACACACATCACTGAATCCTTTTAACCACGTTATGGCATAAGTACTAGCACTGTTCCCATTTTGCAGATGTGAAACCTGAGGCCCAGAGAGGTTACACAGTTTGTCCAAGGACAGAGAGCCAGTGAGAAACTTCCTATTCTATCTTGCCTCCACAGGGAGGTTACAATACTCTTTAACTTTTCCAAGCAGTAGCAAATGCGCATTACTACCAAGCAAAACCAGTAGTCTATAGTCTATATATACCTCCCTCCCATACCAGCAGAAGCCAAGGGCATGCAATTCACCCTTGAAAAATGGTCAGTCTGTTCTGGAGAAATCTGTATTATTATTATTATTCAAGTGTAACTAACATACATTGTTATATTAGTTTCAGGGGAAATCTTCTACAGATCTCATGGTGGCCCACTAGTATAACACTGAAGTACAGAGGCGAGGTCAACTACCTGAAATAAAGTGTCTTTGGCCATGGCTTCTGTCTTATGACTGATTAGCCGAATTATCTCAGGTTTACAAGCTTTCAAGTAAGCTTCTCAAGAGCCTTTGTCTCAAAAGGATAGAACATAACTCTCCTGGATTAATTCAAGGAGACACGAGTCACTAAACAGTCCCTGTATTACGGCTCCTGTGAAGACTAATTCAGTTAATACGCTTTCTCCCGTCACTTACCATCTCTAAACCTTAATCATGCCACCTGTAAAATGAGGATATTAACATTCCCTACCTCTTAAGGGTGTGTGAAAATTGAGTAAGATAAAAAATATAAAACATTTAATGCAAAGCAGAGAACACCAGTTCCATGTCCCACTTAGAGTTCCATAAAGATAAAATTTCACCACCATCATTTTCATCCTCCTCGTTAATTCTCTTCACTTATCCCCTCTGGGGTAAAAGGCTAAGGATGGGAATGTAGGTTGAGGGATCCGGTAACACAGGGCTCATGAGCATTTTAATTTAACCAACTGAAACTGATTAAGGGACTAAGGGCAAGGAAGAGAAAGAACCATCCAAAGTCAACTTAGAGAGCAATGGGTTCTCAATTTTTTTTTTTAAAACAGCAGTCAAAAACAAAAGTAACCACCTACTGCCAACCACTTGTTCAACCACTTTTTCACCAATTATGTGCCACGCACCATACGAGGCATTGAGATGAATTATTTTATTTCATCCTGAAGCCTTAGAGGGTAGTAGCACTGCCTCTACTTCACGGCACTATGTAGCTTAAATAACTTCCCAAAGTTTACAAAACTAACAAATGGCAGAGTGCTCTAGACTAGCTGTGCTCAACCACAACTTCATGCAATTTCCCCACTCAGTCCCACTTTCTAGGGGAGAAAAAAAAAACACCTTGGCAATTAACAAAGAACTCAAAAGAAGCTAAGCAGTAATTAAAGTGGCAACAATGCAACCATTATGTAAGAACAAAATTTCCATCCAATTTAAACATAACAGTAATTCCACAAACTTCCAATTAATACAAACATAGCAGTAATTGAAAACCACAACCAGCTTGAGACACTTCAGGATGCCCAAAAAACATCCTTCCCTGAAACTCTGAGCACATATAGAGAACTAGTCAGCATTGCCAAGGACTGTGGGGCAGACAGATTTCCTAGTAGAGCACCACATTCGAATTCTTGTCAAACTCTATTAACAGGCTAAATTTAGAAACTTTAAGTGACACTCCTGAGAGGTTACAAGTAAGACAACCTGGGTCTGTGGAATGCCACTCAATAGTGGACATGCTTTTTTAGATCAAGGAGGGACCCTCTTGTCACAGTGGGCCACAAGCTACACTTGGGAAAGCTTTGAGAAGGAACTGTCTGAATCTTAAGCACGGAGAGATAAAACCAATTTGAATACCTTGCAATAAAGAAGGATGTGTCTAGGGGCCAGAGCTCTGGGAGCTAGGTATTGGCTCCTCCTCTTCCCATTAGGAGTGTGCCTCTCATCACAGCCTGATGCGCAGGAGAAAACAGAAGTAAAATGGCTGCCACTGCTTTTCTCTTTTTCACCTAGCAACCCCCCCTCCCTTCTGCTCGCCCTTTCCACTGCTACCAGTTTCGCATTTGCTGGCTTAGAGGGGCTCTCTTGAAAGTCAAGTCGATGTAAATGTATCTGATGGCTCTTTCTGATGACTTATTTTTGAACAAAGGTGAAAACCTTGCTCTTGCACCCTCCAGAATTACTCAGAAAGAGGGCTCAGTGACTAGAATATAGCAGGCCACTCAATAAGTATTGACTGGATGAAGTTTTTGAGTAGAAGAATAAAGGAGAGACTGAATTTTTTTTTTCTTTTTAAATCA